GAGTCAACCCCAAGGTCACCGAAGTACGCCGTGTAGCCACCTTTCTGAAGCAGCAGTAGACCGTCGAACAGCTCGAAGATAGAAATGCTAGGCTGGTGGATTGTGCACAGCACTGTACGGCCTGTACGGGCGATCGACTGCACACCGCGCATCACGATAAGTGCCGAACGTGCGTCCAGACCACTCGTCAGTTCATCTAGGAACAAGATGCTCGGGTTTGAGACCACCTCCACACCGATCGTCACGCGTTTCTTCTGCTCTACAGAGAGATGGCCGACCATCTCGCCAGCGATTGGAGTGAGCTCTAACAGGTCCAGAGTTTCGTTCACCAGGTTCATACGCTCTTCTTCGGTAAAGTTTGGCGGTAAGCGAAGCTTGGCTGAGAACACCAGCGCTTCGTAGATCGTGGCAGCTTCCGAGTGGATGTCCATCTGCTCGCAGTACGCTGTGATACGACTGAAGTTGGCCGGGTTCTTCGGCTCACCATTCACGATGATATCGCCGACGATACGGCCGCCCGTCTTGCGTCCGGCGATCACGTCCATCAGCGTCGTCTTGCCTGCACCCGACGATCCCATGAGCGCCACCATACGACCTGGTTCGAAGTGTGCCGTGATGCCGCGCAGAAGCTGCTTCTCTTCACCCGACGGCAGCGTCACATAGTATTCGAGGTCCTTGATACACAAATTGGAAGGCGTAAACGGCAACCCGCTGCCTTTTGCAGACTTGACGGCTTCAGAAGCACCTGGAGTGTTCACTTCAACGTACACGTCGCCGTCCTTAGACTTGCTACCCCCTAAGGTCTTAGCAGTGACACCCGAATACTTCTCATACCGGATGTAGTGCAACGCCAGTGCGTTGAGCGTCGTGAATAGGAAGTAGTAAGCTAAAAGAATCCCCACTCCAAACCAAATGTACTCGGTACCCTGCTTGATAGAGAAGCTGTCCAACTTCTTCTTGCTCTCTTCGGGTGTGTAGCGGTGACTTGAGAACTCTGATAACATGTTGCTACGCAGCGCCCACGAAATCGGAGAGAACCAGTACATCCAGATCCAGTAGTCCGGGATCAGGTCCGCTAGGATGATGTTACCCGAGAACAACAGGAAGAAGCTCACCGAGATCGAAGCCAGAGCCTGGCCCACCGTGATACTCGGCGACAGAGCACTCAGCATCGTCATGTACGCACTGATAGCGTGTTGGAAACACAGCAGCACCAGGTAGAACACGATGTACTTCTCGAACGTCCGGGTCAAACCACTCATGAAGTAGAAGAACGTACCCAACACGAACGATACTGCCACGTTCACTGGAATTTGCACGACGCTCTCAGCTATAGCATACGACGAAGTACGAAAGAAGTTACGCGCTCGTTGCTTGTAGAAGACCTTACGGAGCTGGAACGAGATGGTGATCTGTTGCCACGCTTGACGCTGGAACAGTGCGATGCTGAAGAAGATCATACGCAGGTAGTACGTCGAGCTGACTTCAAAGTAGATCATTCCCATAACCAGACCGATAAGCAGCGCTTCAAGTAGCTTACCCCAAAGTAGCGGTGGGTCTCGCAACCAGATCAACTTCTGCCGGTTCAGTAGCAGCATAGTGCTTGGGACGAACGCCAGTCCGAACTCGGATCGGTCCTTAGAGCGTGCCAAATTGACGACGCTTTGCGCCTTCTTAAAGTCCTCTGCACTCTCGAATTGGTGCTCATTGAAGCCCTTGCTGATGGAGTTCAATGTCTTTTTGAAGATACTGGACTGGCAGAAGAGATTGTTGAACTCTTCCGCCGAAACGGGTAGGTCTTTAACGTCGATAGTGCCGTTCGCATAGCGTTGACCACGCCCTGATGTCACCTCGATCAGGAAATCGGCAGGATCTACTCGTGGGGGACACGTGAAACCACGCTCTTTAAAGTAGTCCAGGATATCGACGCGTGGTCCGTGATACACCATGTGTCCTTCGTGGATCATCAAGATGTCGTCGAACTGTTCTACCACTTCAGGGGTGGGCTGCAGCAACGCTACTACCACCGACCCTCCCAGAGTATTGCACCACGTTCGTAGTGCCTTCATGATATCATACGTAGCAGCACTATCCAGACCAGTTGAGATCTCGTCACAAAGGAACAGGCTCTGGCCACCGATCAGCACTTCGCCCACCGTCACACGCTTGCGTTCACCGCCACTTACACCTCTCAGTAAAGCGTTCCCCACGACGGTATCAGCACAGCTCTCAAGGCCTAAAATCTGCAGGAACAACTCTGTTCGCAGTGCTGCGATGTCTCGCATCTCGTCGTGTTGGTCCGCTGGACGCCCGTTAACGCACAGGTCAGCGAACTTGAATGTCTCACGCACTGTAAGCGTCGGAATGTGGTTGTCCGTCTGATCGACGAGCCCCACAAGCTTGGTGAGCTCAATGTCCTCTCCTTTCAAACCAGAATACAGGATCTCGCCACCGATCTCCTTCTTAAAATGTTTTTGTAGCTTGCCGGCCAGTGCCTTAAGAAACGTCGATTTACCGGAACCCGGGTTCGCCAGGATCAGCGTCATGGAACCCGGTTTAATGATACCGGTCATCGGATGCAGCGCGTGCTTCGTCTGCATCAGTGGTCGCTTCCACGGCGTGAAGATCTTGGCAAGATGCGAGCCGACCGTGTTGTGGCTGCCCGATGAAGCCGGTACTTTGACAGCGAAGGAAAGGTCTTGGAAACGCACCTCGGGGGTCGGTAATTGCAAGTTGATCTTGCGGGACAAGTGGTTGTACTTCTTGTAGAACCGCTCGAGACCTCCATTCAGCATGACCTCCAGATTGTTGGCGTCCAGTGTACTGTATCGACTAACAAGTGTGTCATGACTCGAATGGTTGTACGGTTCCTGTAGGCTACGGAAGTGGAGGGATTGATACACATCGGGTCGTGCTTCATCCGCCGGTGGATTCGCCTCGGTCTCCGGTAGCAGCAGACTCATGGTACCGCCTAACGTCTGCTGCCAAGAGGTTTGCTCGTCTTGCGGTAACTTTCTCTCTTCGCCGCTTGGTTTCGCTTTTAAAAAGAGATGTCAGCCTGCATCTCCTGCGAACGCGCAAGTGAAGTAGAGCATACTACGAATATAGCTGCAAACAAGAAGGAGAAACACGTCGTGGTCCCATGTAACCACCTCACTCACCTGCCATTCTAACCTATATCGGGTTTGTATTACTCGATTCGCGTACAATATTTAGAGAGGGATGAAAAATAGTCAACACGAAACGAATGACTTCATCGCATGCCACATTTATTCCCTTGTATTTCGACCAGCAATTATTAGAAGCACTACGCCTTACTAGGATCGCTGACGGTATCTCAAGGATACACCTTGGTAGACAACGTTTTAGGCTGTCAAGACTGTCGATTTCTCGGTTTCCACAAAGGTCCAGAGATCTTGGAGCTGAGATTCTTCCTCTCCGGAGGTGGGCCAGCGCACAAAGACTCCTGGTTGGCCCCATGGAGTATCAACCGTGACAGTTTGGCCCGGTTCGAACTCTTCCCCGCTCCACAGATGTTTGTATCTGATACCCGACCCAATCACACGATGACCTTCACTGTTAATCTCAATCGGTGGGAGGTAAACATCAAGCGAAGTAGCTCTCACATCGTACACCGGTGCCACGTACAGAGCTTCCCCCACCCAGAAACTTTCATCAATGACACTGCGCGCTGTCGTATCGTTCGGGGAATAAACGATCGGATGGCGCAGCACCGGCCACCCCTTAGTCTGATACTCCGCTTGTAAATCCACGCGGTAGTTCTTAAGACTACGGAACAACCGCGCGTTGTAAGCGTGGTACGCTAACGTCGAAGCGTTAGTGTACGCCTGTACATTCACCTGTGGGATGTTCCCTTCATGCGTTCGAAATACCGCGTCACTGAATGCACTGAGCTCTCCCCAACGTCCCAGTAGCGCAGCATTACGTGTTAAATTGCCGATAGCAGACAGAATAGTGGTGTATCCGCCCACATCCGAGTGAGTGTGGCCAAAACCCGAAGCTCCAATGTGGAGTGCACTGCTCACAACCGCGCGTAGTCCGTCTTCGCGAGACGCGTCGATGTTCTGGTCGCCTACCCAGAAGATATTCGTGTGTTTGGCCGAAAAAGTACCGGCGCTACGGTGGAATCCGATAGTTTCGTTCGTCAATCCCAATTCCTCGACAACTTCTCGAAGAATAGTGGCCCAGACTGTTGAGTACGCATTGTGGAACACACGAGGGTTCACCGTACCACTTGAGAGACTCACCGAGTCGTCCACTGCGAGGTATTCTCCGAAATCTTGCATGCCGCCAGAAATTGGAACGGAATAGAACTGTTGCTTAACCAGATCTTTAAACCAGCTGATAGTAGTCTGCTTTGACAGATCTAGAATACCAGCATCGATCCCAACGCCACTGGTGATAGTCCACACGCTGTCGTCGCCTGCGGTGGAGTTCGTAACGAACCGCCCTTCTCGTTTGGCGATCTCGTAGAAGTTTGTGTTGAAGCCAGTGCTCTTAGTACTGACATTGGCCAAGAAGGTGTTAACGTAGCTTAGTGTACGCACATCGTACTGTTTACGAAGGTACGGTACCCACTCCGCCCACGTCGGATACAGCGTGGTATCAGGCTCCCAGTTCCACCATAACCGGTGGACGTCGATGCCGTACGACCCCGCCTGTAGACGTGTACCCGACCAGTCTTGAAGCCACACACTGGCCAATGGTAAGCCGGTGTTCTGTGCGTCTTGAATAACCCCCTCGACGAATTCCTGGCCGCCTTGGATGCCCAGAATGGCTCCGTCGTTCACCCAGTCCGGTAGTGTAGGCTGTCGTCCCGTGACTTCCGTCAATGCACCGGTAGCTTCAAGCAATACGTTGCCGTCCGTGACTCGACCGAGCCAGCCACTAACAGAAGAGCCCTCATACTGGATTTGTACAGTTGTAAAGGAGTTTGAGTGATCCCCTTCCACAATATCGCCTGCTAGGAAACTCTCTGCAGTGTCTTTAAACGGAGTAGTAGCGTTACTGGCGAGATTAAACAGCACGTAGTTGGTACCGTCCAGGACGATCCATCGCCCTAGAGACGACGTAAGCGAAGCCACCGCCGTGTATGTCGTCAATAACGATCCACCGGCGAACTGACCGGCAACTGAAGGGTTTGCGTTAAGAACCGAAGTGATCGGCTCTTCCCCTCGACCAGCTCCACCTTCGCGGGTCCAGATGGGTACACGCCAACCACGAAGGTTCCCGATGCCTGTCTGTTCACCCAGTCCGAAGAAAGCTTCTTCGAGTGGAGACTCGTACGCAATGTACACGTTGGCTACGTCAGAGCCGTCGACGCTTGCATTGAATTTAAGCGTTTGCGAGTCATCGGAATCCAGAGAGAACGACAGCGTCCAGGTCCAATTGGAGTCATCGAATGATCCCGAGAGTTCTACATATCGCAGAGTTGAAGTCACGTCACCGATGGTGATATTTTGTATGGGAGTTCCCACGGTATCGCCGTTTAACTCGAAGTTCCCCGATGATTGAGTGATCGTCGTGAGGCCCGTTGAAGCCGATACAAAGGCACGGTCCGACGCGGCTGTATTAGACCAGGTTAGTACTTGGGTTTTACTTGTTTTTTTTTTTTGCAGTGTACAGATTACTCTTACATTTCCACACTTGGTCGCCGGCAGTATTCACGACCTCGACTGATGTCGCGTTGACATCGACGGCGACGGTGAACGACGTTCCCAGGACGTAGTGATTCACAGCAGCGTCGACTTGATACACGGTTGTCCCGATCAACGCAGCGAGGATACCAGTCATCCGCATCTTGTTTTTGTCAATTCCAATTGCTGTCTCGGTGGAGAATTGAAGAATGACAGAGGCTGTGCCGGGTGTTCTGAACTAGGGTATCTTTGTTTGGGTCTCTCATCCGATCAGCTTCGATGCTCCACCGCGTTGACTTCCGTTCTTCGGACAGCCATGTCGATACGGTCGTACCGGTTGGTTAATGGTGCATCGACACCACGCCAATCAACGTCCTGGAAGTCTACGCGTGAGTATTACCGGAAGAACAACCTCTATCTGCAAGTGTATGGGAAGATGTCCGACCGTCGTCGCTATGGACAGTGCATGACTGCTTACGTTGACAGAAATCACGTCAGACGCGGTTCGCTCCTGATTGATTATCAAGGCGAGACCTACTGGCTCACGGAGGGGGTCGTTGTAGGGCTGCCCTTAAGAATTGGGTGTCGTGAGTGTTCAAATGCCGCTGCGTTCGCTGCTGGCCGTTGCCTGCGCTGTGGTAACTGCGGCGCGGACCACCTGCGTCCGAGCGGGATCGAGTCCGATGAGGGCGCCGTTTTCCAGATGAGGGCACTGTGTACCACTCACCATCTCTCATTATATATATCATACCAGTATTATTAGGAAAAGTAGCGGGGTCTACTATTTTCGTTGAGATTACTATTATTATTTTGATAGTGCTCTTATCCATGCTTGAACAAGTAAGGAGCATCTTATTCGAATCAGCTGCTATTCAAATGTGGGGAAACTCAGATCCGGTCTGATTCGGCTGATTCCACACAAAGCATTAGAAATCAGCCGAATCAGACCGGATCTGAGTTTCCCTACATTAAAATAGCAACATGCTCTTCAACTGTTAAACATGCTCTTTAACGGGATGGATTCAGAATCGACTTTTTCTTAAACTACTACCAGTACTTTGTACTGGACTATCAGTTGTATTAGTAGTACTCGTAGGCGCCTTACCAGTACTATACTAATTTGTAAAAAGTCATGTACTACTATGAGCAACAAAGTGCTACTGCGAAAGTTAGTTTTCAATAAGACGTTGAAGGAGGAGAAAAATGTAAATGAAATTGAAGTTGTGTATGTAAAAGTGACAAATGGTCTTCTCGCTTGGTTTGACGAGAGTCGCACAGTGCGTTGCCATCATCAAGTTTATCTCTTGAGATGACTCACGTACTTGAACGTGAGGTAGATGGCCATCTGCACCACGATCCAAATGACAATCAAGCCAACCATGAAGTCGTACTTGCGTTCCGGGCGGAAGTCGTACGTGTTGGCGATGTAGTCTGCCACAGTCATTTGCTTGGTCGAGTTGTTCGCCGTCACGGCAATGATATCCTGGTTTTTGCCGAACTGCACGCCAACCAGCGCCGCGAGCGAGTAGCTGGACGGCATCAGGTACTGGAACCACTTGTAGCCGTGCTTCATGGCTGTCCGTGGCAGCAAGTAGCCCGAGAACAGGTTGAACAAACACGACAGCGCACCGACAGCCACGTTCGCCACCTTCTCGTTCGGCATCAAAGCCGACATCCACTGACCCACGTAGGTACAAGCCGACGTGTAGAGGTAGAAGACGAACATGAAGAAGATGAAGTCGCCTCCGTTGTCACTCCAGCCAACCAGCCAGTACTCGATCGTCACGAACAGCACGATCACGATGATCAGGTAGGGCACTTCAGCGAACCACAGCGACAGACTGTACGGCAACGGACCGTAGTAATTCGACATCCGTTCACGGTAGAACACGGCACGCTCAGCGCACGTCACCTCCAGTACCG